TACTAGTTAGCATCCTCATGTTTAAATTTTCATTTTAAACGTGCCTCGTCTAGAAAGTCATCGTTATATTGGAGAGTCAGGCTGACCCAGGTGGTTTGCATGAGAATACTGTGCTTATCGTAATGGGTGACCATGGACAGACATTAAATGGGGATCATGGAGGAGGGACTGCTGAAGAGGTAAGAATTTTGTTTCCTGCTTCTGTTGAGGAAAATATTCTGTTAGTAAACTAGTTTTGAACAGATACAAGTTCTTCTCACTCGATGAAGATTGAGAGAGAGAGAGACTTGGAATTGATTTTCCATTACATGTTCATTCACTGGTGCAGCGTTCACACTCTTTATAGTATTGGTTCGTGCTTGCAGCTTTCTTTCAAACAGCTATTATTTGTAAAGGAGAATAATAGAAGCTTTTCATTTTATTTTATACAGAAAGTTTTCCATTCTAGCTAATTTTCCTTTTTAAAATTTTTCTTTTTTTTGTCGTCTATTAAAAAGAAAGTTTTCAATTTTAAAAGTTTCCTTTTTGAAACTGTTTGTCTATATCAATACTTACCTTTACAATATTGTAATGTACAGTACAAGCATATATAACAATCTTATATATTAACTTATTCTGCATGCAGCAGGATCAATAACATAAAAGGTAAAAAAGAAGAAGACGAAAAGCAGGAAAGCTATGGAACCAAAAAAGACGAAAAGCAGGAAAGCTATGGAACCAGCTGGAGCTCAAGATCCCGGTAATCACAATATATTACTACTTTCTATGTTCCATACATGATATGTACATCCGTTGATTCGATTTTTTAGTCATATTCAATAAAATTAACTTAACTTTTAGTTTAAATTTCAACCGGTAATTAGTTTTGCTATTAATTTTGTTACTAGGGTGGAATATTCTCAAGCCGAATGAAGTTGAGGTACTGAAGAAGGCGATGTCGCCGGATGATCCCCAAGTCCTTGACGAATTGAACAAGGCGATGCATGAGTTTTCATATCGATTATATAAATAAAACCATACCAGATCTTTATTTCTATTTGATCATA